GCCGCGGCCGGCCAGCCGCACCCCTGTCGGGGTCGGTCACAGGCACAGCCGCAGGCGGGGTCGCGACCTCCGGTGGCGCGGGAGCGCGGGCAGACTCAGCTGGGGCGGCCCGGACCCGGGCAGGTCGGGTGGTTATCACGCGGTTTCTCAGCTGATCGGTGACCGGGCCGCTCAGGGCGCCGCCGGGTCGCCTACACCGAGCATAAGGCGGGGCCGGGGCCGGAGCAGCGGCTAGCACCAGCAGACGGGCGACGGCCAGCACGGCCAGGCACCGGAGCAGCTCCGGATGCATCTCGACAGGTGAGCTGATCTGGAAGGGCTTGTCTAGGCCGCAAACGTCTCGTCGGCAGCAGGCATCGGCGAGCCGACAGGCCGACAGCGCATCCCACCCGCTACGCCACGATCCGTCACCGAGACACCGTCCAAACGCGACCCGTCCTAGGTCACCACGCCGATGCACGTTCACGGTCCACGCACGCAGTCGCTCATGCACTCACGCAATCAATCATGCAATCACTCAGAGCAATCGTTCGGAGAAAGGCACTCTGTCACACTACGGCCCCACGCGGAACGTAGGTGCTGTGGAGGTAGGCGGGAGAGCCGCCCGGCGCGTCCGGCCGCTGGCGCCGCGCCAGGTCAACTGGGCGGTGGGGCCGGATGGGGTACCTCTCTTTGCGGTACGGCGCTGCTTCCCTGTTGTTGGCCCCCATCTGCTTCGGCTGGTAAACCTATCGATGATGACGGGCTTGTTCCCCGAGTGTTGGAAGTTGGCATGTGTCGTGCCAATACCAAAGTCCGGTGATCTTACCCAACCATCAAATTATAGGCCTATTTCAGTTTAAAGTGTGCTGTCAAAGATTTTAGAAAAAGTAGTCTGTGTTCAACTTACAAATTATGTCGAAGCCAATCACTTGCTGAGCCCATCTCAATATGCTTATCGTTCACACCACTCTACTGAGGACGCCGTGATCGACGCTGTCGAGCGCCTTGTCAGCAACACCGACCGTGGTCTAGTATCGTCGGTAACGGCGATCGATCTATCAAAGGCGTTCGACAGCGTCGATCATGGCGTCCTCCTCACCAAGCTGCCATGGTATGGAGTCACTGACGTCGGCTGGTTCTCCAGCTATCTCGATGGACGGCGCCAGCTTGTCAGGGGTGGCGACGTGACCCTGCCTGTACCCTGCGGCGTGCCCCAGGGCTCGATCTTCGGTCCGATCCTCTTCATTCTGTTTACCTCAGACCTTCCGGCACATCTAACTCATGGCCGCCTCATTTCATACGCAGACGACACCCTCCATATAGACTGTGCCTCACCTGACGGGCCGAGCCTGGCCGAACTCCGAGCTAGGCTGGAGCTCACCATGCGCGAGCTTCATGCCTGGTTCGGAGCGAACTCATTAAAAATGAACAGTAGCAAAACCGATTTCATTATTGTTGGTACTAAGCATAACGTAACAAAAACCCATGATTTCAAGTTCGAAGTGGAAAACTCTTTGATTCAGCCCTCAAAAACCATCAAAATTCTTGGCGTCACTGCGGATGCGATCCTGTCATGGGAGGAGCACATCACACTTGTCGTCCAAAAGTGCAACAAAACTCTCTTTTCACTGCACAGATTCAGACACTATTTTACACCTGAAGTTCTCAAAATCATCGTTCAAGCCTATGTCTTCCCGCATATCATTTATTGTCTTTGTGTGTGGGGTGGGGCGGCCAAGGGACAGATGCAAAAAATTCAGAAGCTAATCAATTTTTCGGCCAGAGTTGTAACAGGGGTTAAAAAACACGAGCATATCACATCATCTCTAAATTCCCTTGATTGGCCGAGGATCGCGGCCCTGGTGGCGCGCCGGGACGTCACCAAGGTGTGGAGGCTGCTGCGGACGGACGGCGCACCCTCCAATGTGCGAGAGCTCCTGGTGCCCCGGAGCGTGGTGTCGACCCGGGAGACGCGCGGCTCCGATGGCGGCGACCTGCATGTGCAGCGCTGCAGACTGCCATCGAGCCAGAGAGCCTTCTCATACCGCGGGGCGGTAACCTGGAATGGACTTCCACAGTCTGTCCGTGGCATGCCCACCCTCCGCGCCTTCCATGCGGCGGTCAGAAAATGTGACAGCACTTAGTGCTCCACTCATTTTACTCACTCGCTCATAGGCCTCATCTTCTTTTATCTGGTGTTTTAACGTGTTTATAGTGTTTACCTACTGCTTAATTTACTTTTAAAATGTAATAGCCTGGTGTTTTAGGTATGAGTTTTAATCCTGTGTTTTAGTAATGAATCATCTGACGTGAGATCAGAATAGCCACTGCGTGGATGGTCTCTACAATAAACTCATACTCATACTCATACTCATACTCATGACCCTTTCCGGTCAGGTCATGACTTTGACCTGAGGTCAAATTTTCAAAATGACCTTTCAAGGTCAACAAATAGTTACAGGGTGTTTCACAATTAACGTTACAAGATCAAAGCTCAATATCTCTGGGCATAATGACTTTATTTCCGCCAAAATTGCACCATATGCACCCAAAAAACAGAGACCAACATCCTTAAGCCCTACTCGAAGTGGCCGCCTCCAGCCTTCACAGCGGCAGCCAACCGTCTCCTGAAGTCACGGACTGCGGCACGCACAACCGCGTCGGGGATCTTCTGCCAGGCGCTGATCAGAGATCGCTTGAGATCGTCGATCTTCTTGTGCGGTTTGGAGCAGGCTTCCTTCTCGAGCACGGACCAGATCGTGCAATCCATCGGATTCAGATCTGGGGATGATGGGGGCCACTGGTCCTTGGTGATGAAGCCTGGGCAGTTGTCTTCGCACCACGGGTGACGCGCGCGGTGTGGCTTGTTGCGCCGTCCTGCTGAAAAGTCCAGCCCTTGTCTCCGTACGTCTTCTTGGCCCACGGTTTCATCGTCTGTTCAAGGATGGTCTCGATGTAGGTTTCTTTGTTGATTTTTACGCCCTTGGGCACAAAAACCAACGGCGACTTTCATCTTCAGGCGCGGGTGTGGACTTGTGTGGCGGCGCGAAGGTACTGGACTCGAATGACCTCTAGACTGCAAGGAGGGTCAAGGTCTGTGCCCCATGGCGACCGACAGCTGTTGCGGAGTTTCATGCACTAGTGCCCCCGATCCGCATCGCGGCGGGCCGCAGGGGGCACGCGTTAATCCACCCACACATCCCAGCCGCCAGGTCGGCTCGCCGGCCGGCACGCAAGTCACCTTTCTGACACGAGGTAGAAAATGACGTCATTGCCATTGAAGCCTGTGCGTTGAATACTTGAAATTCACACAGGAGGTGCGTAATAGATACCTGTTGACTACACCACGCAGCCATGTACAGCCGTCTTCAAACAGGTCCGCGAGCAACAAGCTTATCACACAGGCTCTAATCCTGATATTCGAGATAATCGCAGACTCGGACCTCATTTGGATCAGTCTTTCATCTGCTACACCCATTATCTGTTCAAAGGGCATTCAAAATGCAATTAACCAGGACCAGAATTATGTGCTCTTTCCAATGGTGTAGTGTTTTCAGAAAAAAAAAAACACCTTTAACCCTCGCCCGCACATGCCATTTTCCCATCCTAGAACGCACATGGGGGGGTGGTTGCCACCCCCCGCGCCATTTCGTTCCTGTTGGAGATAGAGCTTAGCAGTAAAGACCAAAAAGATTCTTTGGGAAGAGACGAATCCAATGATACCCAGTTTTACCTTCTCAGGTCAGTCATTGACCTTCCAGGTCAGGTCAAACTAAAAAATGTTGCTGTTTTGGGTCACCGTTGGATATCAAGTGCGCTGCTTATCAAATACCGATGACGATGCTGTTTTCTGGTGCCAAGCCAGCTAGAACCTCTTTGTCACACTATCCGACCAGAATTTTGCTGCTGAGGTCATTTCAGGTCAAGTTAGGTCAAGGTCAATTATATGTGTTTGTATGTCTGTGTGTGTCTGTGTGTATACTGATGTGTGCACCGATTGTTTTTGGGTCCATATTACATGAAATCATGATCTGAGAAGCTTTTACCAAAAATGCAGTCAAAAAACTTCACAAAAAGTAAATTCAGCTTGCCTAAAACGCAATTATCTTAGATGACCTAGGTTGACCTTGACCCTGACCTTGACCCCTGTACATCGTCGAACAACATGTTTCATGATAGGTGGGAGGTAAGACTGGCAAAAAAGGCCGAAATCAGGGTGTCAAAAGCTCACAAGGCCCATGGCAAACGCAAGATGTTGAGAATTGGCCATTTGGGTCATGACATGACCTGAAAAACAAGGTCATATCTCCGAAACCAAAAATCACAGAAACTTGAAATTTTCAGTGGACATCAAGAAAGGATGGACGAGCAGCTATACGAAAAATCAGCCTTCTACCTCTAAAAATGTTGAGTGCAGAGCAGAAAGACTGCCTGGGGGGGGGGTGGCAACCACCCCCCCCCCCATGTGCGGGCGAGGGTTAAGTGCACCAAAATTGAGTGGGAACTCTTGTAACGGTAATTGTGAAACACCGTGTAATTCGACGCGTCTCGACGAGAGGAACACGATGCTGCCAAAAGTAATGTCATGGCTGTCTTGAGTCAAAAGTTATTGACGAAAAACCATTTTCGTGAAAACTGCTATTTTTACAGTTTTTGCCCTCTGGAGGCTAAACCGCTTTGATACTCAGAAAGGTCTGTAAAAGGGCTATCGAATGCGCTTTTCCGCGGCGCTGTAGCTCTATTGGTTCCCGAGTTAGCCGTTGGCAGTTTCCAAAATTGTTGAAATGGCCTACATTTGACCTTTGATGACCTCTGGCCACCTGACCTTTGACCTGACCCAAAAATGAGTTAAGTGTTTTCCTCCTTATTTTTGACGCTCTTTCGAATGCCGCTTATCGCGTGTCGCTACGTGGCCCAGGAACCGAGTTAGACGGGGGGGGGGGTGTTCAGACCCCCCCCCCCCGGCCCGGCGCGGAAGTCGCAGAGCAACGGCCCGGCGCGGGTTAAAACATCAGAAAACAACCGTTTGTTGTAGTATATTGTGGCGAAGTGGCAGGAGAAAGGCAGCAGACCACTCTGACTTTGGGGCGCACTGGCATGGCTCGAGGACGATAGAATAGACGGGAGACTGCGGCCGCCAAGCGCATCACCTAGGCATGTACACACAAAGTGTTAAGGAAATGCAGCGAAATATGGTTCGGCGGGGGTTTCACTGGCAGCTCATAGCCGGACCAGGAGCGCGCCGCAGCGAGCATCCCTGCCGCAGCCACACGCAGTACCGGTCGCCACCCGACCGCCGCGCCTAACAGCCGACACTGCGGCCGACGCGCCAACAGCACATCACAGCTCCGCCGCTCCACACTCAACGATTACCAAAAATGTTAGGCAGAAAACAGTCATGAAGTCAGAAAACAAAACACCACTGCGGTTGAAAGTCCAACCATATGAGGTCGTGATCGATGACGAGAAAAAATGCAGCGTTTCAGCGCAGCTTAACGACCTTTCCATGCGGCGAATGAGCGCTCGCCACGTAGTGTGATCTGTGCGTGCGCGCACCAGCTGACCCGCCCTGACGCGGGGTCATTCTTCGCTCTGTGTCGGCACGCGACGGAAGCGCTTCCCGTCCGCCTCCCCGCCGCCTCCATGTCTTATGTATTGTTTTCATGAATGATGTGTTTTTTAGCAGTGCACGTTGCAATGTCGGCGTTGTACCTCACCCAAAGCCGGTTGGAGAGAAATACAACACCCTTTTACTCTACACCGTCTTTGCAAGCGCAAAAGAACTGCATGGAAAAAAACAATACGGTAATGGAAAATCATAATTAAGCACGTTTCACATGGAATTATCTTTCTACATATGAAAACATCCAAGACAAGACAATCAAGAGATAAGCGGCCGGCAGCAGACAGCACAGAGCATTTTTATAGCCACGACTGGTGCCGTGGTCCTAGGCAAAAGTGCACCAGGACACGGGATCAGCGGACCGGTCCGGCTGCTCAGTACAGCGGCGAGAATGGTCACCGCGCGCTGGCCTTGCTTTCAAACTGCATTAGGAGTATGATCGGTACATCGGGCGGTCGACGAACAGTAGATATATGGGTGGATGGGGCGGCCACGAGCGCAGCGCTCCTGCATCGCCGTCCGACGACGCTACACGAACGGGCTGGTTTTCAGATGTTGCGCTGGCACCAGTTCCCGAGAGCGGCTGCAACAGAAGGCCGGTGACGTGTCAGTGGTCGGAGCACACCGACCCGCCGTGCTCACACACTCGGCGTGGTGGGGGCACCGGGCACACAGCAGCGACCACGGACAAGACTGGGGCTGATTGTAACAGTGTTTGTATTTTATCAGCATTCAGCTGGTACAAATGGGTGCGGTTATTTTTTCACATCTTAGTTTGCTATTTTGGCGCGATTTTGACAATTTCTGGCGCATTCCACTATTTACTTTAGCGGCCATAGGGCAATGGTTTACTAACGGGAGATGTGATGAATTGCAGCAGCAATACTTGGAATATAAAGAAGAAGTGAAGCAATTATGGTACCTATTATTTTTTTATAATGACAGAAGGACCGTGGAAGGAAAAACATTTTGTGCAGCATGTGAAAACTAAGAAATAGAATGAAAGAAGGGCTGCTCCTTGTCAAACCAGCCACCTCCCGAAAACAAGCCACCTCCAGCTACCCGAAACCAGCCACCTCATCATCATAGCATGGTAATGATAGTTAAAGTTTATGTTAAAAAAGAATAGGAGGAACTGCTGCAAAGGTGATGCCTCAAAGCCGTTAAGTCAAGTCAGGCATGCTCTTGCAAACTGAACGTTCAAGTTACGAGACCCCATACCGCTCCAGTGGCTGGTGCTTAGATTGTGCAATTTCAATTTGAGATACTTTGTTTATTTTTGTGGCATAAAATCTAGGAAGTTTTGTGCAAGTCTGGTGATGACTGATGATTCAAATAAGTGATTAGTTGAGTGGGTACATGGTACAAGTGTTTTTTTCTGTAGAAGAAATCTTTAATATTATTTTTACTTTGCTTACATGCTGTCATTATCATACTTGCCTCTATTGAGCTGGGTATTTCATTATATATTGAACTACCAAATTTATATTTGAAAAGTAAATATGTAATCAACTTGAGCATTAGGCTGCATGGCAGTAGTCGAGCTTGTAAAATACCTAAATGTTTTGCTCAGAAATTGTTTGCTTTATTGGTTTCTTGAGTTTCACCAGATAAAGATGCAAGGTTGGATTTGGTGTTAGTTATCCATATTAACGTGCACTGTTTGTGACAAGATTATGGAAATTGTAACCTCAATATGGTTTCATATGAAATTTCATGCTGTCAAAACTATGAGATGTTGCCTTGAGTTTGGAATCAGGCAAACATGGATTGAAGCTGTTTTTTTTTTTTTAATCTGTTTCTTAGTAACTTTCACCTCATAATTCACCTCACAAGTCACGGTCACGGCCATGGATATCACAGAAGATTTTGCTGAACTGCCAAAGAGAATCCTGTGCGAGGAAATGTTTTGGATGATTTGGCTTAACCCTCGCCCGCACATGGGGGGGGGGGGTGGTTGCCACCCCCCCCCCCAGGTAGTCTTTCTGCTCTGCACTCAACATTTTTAGAGCTAGACGGCTGATTTTTCGTATAGCTGCTCCTCTATCCTTTCTTAATGTCCACTGAAAATTTCAAGTTTCTGTGATTTTTGGTTTCGGAGATATGACCTTGTTTTTCAGGTCATGTCATGACCCAAATGGTCAATTCTCAACATCTTGCGTTTGCCATGGGCCTTGTGAGCTTTTGACACCTTGATTTCGACCTTTTTTGCCAGTCTTACCTCCCACCTATCATCGAACATGATGTTCGACGATGTACAGGTGTCAAGGTCAGGGTCAAGGTCAACCTAGGTCATCTAAGATAATTGCGTTTTAGGCAAGCTGAAGTTACTTTTTTGTGAAGTTTTTTGACTGCATTTTTGGTAAAAGCTTCTCAGATCATGATTTCATGTAATATGGACACAAAAACAACCGGTGCACACATCAGCATACACACAGACACACACAGACATACAAACACATATAATTGACCTTGACCTAACTTGACCTGAAATGACCTCAGCAGCAAAAATCTGGTCGGGTAGTGTGACAAAGAGGTTCTAGCAGGCTTGGCACCAGAAAACAGCATCGTCATCGGTATATGATAAGCAGCGCACTTGATATCCAACGGTGACCCAAAACAGCAACATTTTTTAGTTTGACCTGACCTGGAAGGTCAATGACTGACCTGAGAAGGTAAAACTGGATATCGTTGGATTCGTCTCTTCCCAAAGAATCTTTTTGGTCTTTACCGCTAAGCTCTATCTCCAACAGGAACGAAATGGCGCGGGGGTGGTGGCAGCCACCCCCCCCCCCATGTGCGTTCTAGGATGGGAAAATGGCATGTGCGGGCGAGGGTTAACAGCATAAATTTTATTTTCCCAGTTGCATTGGAGCTCTGCTGGAGTTTGCTGATGACACGATGCTGAAGGGCTGAAGCTGGCAGCTGTGGCAGGAGTCCAGTGTCCACCAGCTCAAGATCCGACGCTTCGCCGCCGTGCGGCACTCCGCGAAGACGGGGACGGCGGTCATGATTGAAGACACCGCATTTCCCGCCTGGACTGTCCAGTGTCCGGTCGGAGACTGGTAATCCCTCCGGTGAGCCGCACACCGTGGAGCTACTGCACCGCGCGTGTCCACCCGCAGCGCAGTGCCTGCAACGGTGCCGCGAGTGCGACATCTGCGTGCATATGACGCAGTGCGACTGTCACGACTCGCGGATCAGTGTTAACTGTCAGTGTGATAGTGCGGCTCGCGCTCGTTTTAGCGAGGTGCTCTGTTGTATATAACCGCCTTGATGGAGATCTATGTGCTGCCGCTTGAGTTTCAATGTACAGTTTTATACATCAAACTAGCGTAAATGGCTGTCAGAGGTCAATTTGAAGCGCAATTAGTACCCATTACCCAGCTGGGTTGAGCGAGTCATGTGACTAGTCCCGATGAACGTACTGTTTCGATGTCGTCAGTCGTAGACTTTTGTAAACCATTCATTTCTGAGCTCTGTGTTGTGTTGTTCGGGATCGCAGTTGTTTGAGCAGTTTGCTTTATGCGTCGTACGCTGACAGAACGCTGGTCGTACACGAGTCATGTGTTTCCTTTCGCCCCTAACGGGTTACTGCGGTACCTATGCAGTTGGAATGTGTTTCGAGAGTCGAGACACTTACTGGTCGCACTTGGTTGTGAAAATGACACTAATTGGTCGCACTTGGTTTCAAGCTGTGCTTGAAAATTGTGCAATTTTATTTGCATTTTGCAATGCAATTTTATTGCCGTTATCGTATTGGTAGATAGTGTCAGAAGTTGGCCATTTGATGCGTTGTCAGAAGCTGTTGCCTTAGTACTGACAAATTGATGGGCCGCGTTTGTGTTACTGTTAAGAAACGGATCTCAATATAAGGTGATTAAGAGGTAAGGTGATTTCACCTGAATGCATTCGTTCAGACTTTTCATCTCATGGGGATGCATCTCTTGGTAATCAAAACTTAGGTTTGGCAAATTCCAAACCCTAAGTCACTACAACTGTGGATATAAATAAGCTGGTTATTGACGGCCAAGCTCTGGCCAATCTGAGGTTCAGACCTATCATCAAGTTCATGAGGCAGCTGCGGTTGGGCGGCTCACGGGCTCCACTGCATAGGCTCAGACAGGTACTCTACAAAATGTCTTCTGTGTTCTTAGGTTCAGATCTATCGATATGTGCATGCTTCTGATTCGATTGATAACTGTAAACGGGCGCTGGAAGTGAAAGGTTTGCTTGATATACGAAAGGTGCATTGCAAGAAAGCACATTATTTCAGAAATACATTTTCATTTTATCTTGAGCGTTTTTGGAATGGGCCGGATGAATTCGTCACCAAACCGGTAAATTCGATGACTGGATTGGGCGGCGTAGGATCTGCTGGTCATCTGACTATGGGTTGATTAGGGCCTAGTTGGGGGGTTCGTTGTGGGGTTCAAATGTATAGCAATACGTTAGTTTTGACCTAGTTTGAGCTTCATTCATTAAGTAGGAACAAGACGATGCTTCTTTTGAACATCGTCACTAAACGAGCCGCCCTCGTTTTGACATTGTTTTTCGTTATTATTGCTACTAGGTACTTTGTTATCACACACAGCATTAACGAGGACCTGCTTCCAAAACAAGGCAGAAACGCTCCAGCTATTTTTGGGACGTGGTAAAAACTAACCGACACCTGGTAACTGTCATCTGACGAACACAAAACAAGCCAGGGGCTCGCAGCGTGTGTCAAAAGTAGGATGCAAAACTAGTCTGTACCCCCGACATTTAGCGTTGAGAATCATTTGACGAGGGGCTAGTCAATATTTTTTACAGTGTAGTCTAGAAGGGCGCCATTGGTTTCAGAGGGTTGCCATCGATCTTAAGATGGGGCAGCTGTAACCTTCGTTTAGATGGGCGTGATCTTCAGAAGCGCGCCGGACGCTCTGGAGGGGCGTCATTGGGCTTGAATTGACTTAAGTCATTGACTTAAGTCTCAAGCGGGACGACTTCAGTCTCAAGGGGGTGGGGCGCTAGTGGCTCTTGAGGGCGCTATTGATCTCGGATAGGGCGACTGTGATCTTGAGAAGAATGCGGGTGCTTTAGAGGGGCGCCAGTGGTTTCAGGGCGCGCCATCGATCTTGGATGGGTCGATTGGGGCAGCTGTGAACTTCAGAGGGGCGCCATCAAGCTTTACTGGGGCGACTGTTCCGTTCAGGTGGGTGCCAGCGGCTCTTCAGGGGCGCCATCGACCCCGGGGTTCGGAATATTCTGGTTTCCGGAGGGGCGCCCCTCAACATTTGGGGGCTCCGGGCTCAGGTCGTATTTGGGGGTGCCCTGGAGAACATTTAGGTGTCCAGGCACCCCCAAAGAGATATTGAGTTCGATCCCTGCCTGCACATCACTTTTTAATTCATGTTCTCTCTGTAAAACGGCATTAGCCTAGTCGGCGATAATTGGGGCGCCATTTGGGCGTCTGGGCGGAAAGGGGGGGCCATGGCCCCCATGCCCCCCCTCTATACGCCACTGGTAGGAGTAGCGATGGGCTCTAGGATTGCTCCCCCACTAGCCACAGTGTTTATGAATGCTGTAGAATCCCTGATCCTA